CCTTGTCTCTCTCCCTCCCCCTCTCCACAGCTGGTGGTCTCCAATTGGCTATATGAAAGCTGTGGTGATGTCCCACAGCATATATAGCTGAAGCAGCACAGACACTTGCCCTCAAAGAGTTTCGAAGTTGCGGAACAACGTCGATATCTGCCAGAGGGGCGATCTCCGTTTCCTACCAAAACCGGACCAAGGGGACCCTGCAACCAAAGCCCAAAATGTGTGCCAATGTGGCACTACCTCCCCAACCCAACTGCCCAATTGGCAGACCGCAGAGCATGCATGTGTTACAATTTCACAAAAAAGAAATGAACGCACAAATGAAATGGGTACATCATGTACATCCATTAAAACTGGAACGATACAGAGAAGATTAGCATGGTCCCTGCACAAGGATGACAAGAGAAAAGGAAAGGAAAGGAAATGGGTACATGACACATGTATTGTAACTGTACCAAGCTCAATCAACAGAACTTGTACAGCAAAATTTGCACTTACACATGAAGAAGGTATGGGCATGGTCTACATGGACAAGGACCAAGCAGGACCAAGCAGTACCAACAGGGTACACACACACACGCACGCATCAGATCGGTGTGACACACTTGTTTTCAAGGGTGTGTGTGTGTATGAGATCAAGAAGGTATGGGCATGGCCTAAGCGGACTAGGATCAAGAAGGTAAGGAAGGGGAAAGCACTTCCGCCGAATGGTCGGAGAATTGCAAGGTGGTACACATCGGCTCCGACCAATATAATGATGAAGTCATCGCCGAATGGTCACCAAATGGTCAGACAATGGAATACGTACCTTTCATGCCGACTTCATCATTTCATTATAATGGTCAGAGCCTAATGATGTACCACCTTGCAATTCCAGGGCGGTGACCAGACTTAGGCCCCATGAATACACCGGCAGAGAGTGCACTGCGTACACTATGGAGAGTGCAATGCAATCAACCTTGCGCACAAGAGGATTGTGAGTCAGGGAGGGAGGTGGGTGAGCAACGTATAACCCAATCAACAACGATTGTCAAAGAGAAAGCAGCTGAGAACCTACCGTCTTCACCCGAATAGAACACCCGGTAATTATCGCCGTATTTGGACTGAAAATCCGTATCTGGACTGAAAATTGCACCAAATACGGCTATAATGACTGGGCGTTCTATTCGGGTGAGGACGGTAGGAGCAGGACGAGTGACACAGGCCGTCATGAGATTTCTCATCCATCCTGATCACGCAGCAGGCTTTATACCTGACGGAAATATAGAAAGATAACATTTTACGAGTGAACGAAAGAATCAAAATATGCACGACAGAGGGGTAGACAAAGCCACAATCCTCTTCATTGATTTTGGAAAGGTCTATGACCACGTGGACTGGGGTCTCCTAGACCCCTGCATGTACGAAATGAACCTGGGAGAGGGGTTCAGGAGAGGGGTGGACACACTGACCGCACTGCAGCAACCAAGATCGTGGTGAATGGTCATCATCTTTCTCACCCCCCATGTCTCTGCAACGTTCGGTCAGGCAGGGGGGATCCAGTGACTCCCTTCTTTTCGTTATTGTTATGGAAGCACTAGCTGCGGCAATTAAACCACCAGTACACCAGGGGGTCTTAGGCCCCCTCTGGGGAGGCTCTGACGCAAATGCATATGGACCCGCGCGGCGCACCGATTTAGCACCGCGTTAACAGCCAAAAAACGTGGAGGTACTGGTGGTTTAAAGCACCAGTAGACCATACATCGGCCCACAGGCGTCAGCATGAAACCCGCACCACTTCGGAGGCCGGCAATTTTTTTTTTCAACAGCGCCCCTGGCGGCACGGCGCCTCCGCATTTTGCTTGTGCTGGCAAAAACTTTCTGCAAGGCTGGGGTCATGTACTGCCGTCTTCACCCGAATAGAACGCCCGGTCATTATAGCTGTATTAGGCACAACTTTCAGTCCAGATGAAGCGATAATGACCGGGCATTCTATTCGCGTAAAGATGGTAGCGGTTTACGGCTTACCCCAAAACCGACCGGCTGAGAGATTTGTCAATACAAAACTCACAAAGAGACAACGCCACTCAATTGCAACTCGCACGTAAGAGAGACTGCAAGAAGAAAAAGATAAGGGAAGAAGGAGAATGAACAGAAGAAGAAGGAGATAAAACACAATCTGGCACCAATGTCATTTCTCCCTTATATCTCCCTCACCACTCTCCCTCATCATCTCAACCAACATCTTATTATTAATAATAAACAATAATAATGAATGAAGAAGCCCGATGAATAAACAATAAACAATGAACAAAGCCCGATGAATCTCCTTACTGCTGCCAGGTCAAGCTTACTTAACTCTCCAACACCTCCTACTGACTTCCAGATTCCAGATGTCTACCAGTTATGGCGGAACATCCAAGGTGACCACGGATGTTCAAAGGACAATGCAAATGCTCTCATGTCTTTTCCCTCTCCACTAACACCATGCTCACACTCACGGATGAAGTACAAGTCCACTTCAACCCCCTTTGGGACCTTCCCAGTGCAGCGCCAACCAAGGTGATGAAGATGCAGGTCCACCATAGCCAAGGTATGTCTCCTCCTTTCACACTCCTCCACCTTCTCCTTCCTCCTTCCTCCTTCCTCCTCCTTCGTCCCTTCTCCTCCTAGCTGCTGCTTGGCACTGCTTCAGCCAAACTCCCGATTCCGCAGTCGGTCTATCTCCAACAGAGGGAAAAAAGGAGCAAAGAACGGATCTTCTTGATATACTTTAGTGACTGCTTCGCTCCTCCGGTGACTTCCAGCCTGCCAAGCCTCTAGAGTCTAGGCCCTACCCATTCCTGCTCATTTGGAGGAGGAAAAGTCCAGTCTGGAAAATATAGAATTTATACAATTTTATTGCATCAAAAGGCCGGGGACGACCTCACAATTCTACCTAGACTCTTTTCTGGACTGTCCTCAGCCAGTACCCTCCTAATTTCTCTGTTACGCCTTCTCGAACTCAGGAAATACTTCGGCCTACCCAAAGTCCTATTTTGTCTTTTCTCCCTACCTGCCCGGTACCGCCTACTCTCGGCCACTCTGGGCCTACCTACCCCTAGCCTACTTCCAGTCTAGCGCCCCAGTACCCACTGCACAGGCCACCAACAGGGCAACAGGAGTTAGTGACAGGGCCATGAGGGCCAAACCAACACGCAAGGCATCACACCTGGTCACACACAGACACTTAGTACTCAGACAACCACACAGCACACAGATAGCAGCAACCACAATAGCAGGAACAGATCCCCACGAATAGATTGGCGCATTGTTCCTCCCCCCCCCCCCCCAAAAAAAAAAAAAAARRAAMARAWMMAAAMARMAGAAGWCTMAGTAAAACAMAMAGAACRGCTGCAAAAACTAAAAAAACCASAGAAATCTCRKYCTRYMATTTCGCCGGTTATTACAGCTGGAGAAAGAAAGCAACCCATAGTTGCGGCGCACTGGTACGGTGCGCAGTGCGGTGTGGGGCACTGTGCGCCATGCGCGAGAGAGTGGTGCTCGTGCACGTGCGCAAAAAAAAACAAAAAAAAAAAACAGC